CCCGGGTTCACCACATCGAGTTCGTACGCCACGCTCACCCCTCTGCAGCCGTTGCCGCCGATCTCAACCATGTCTGACAAGTTTACCCACCATTACGGCCATCCGGGGAACGGGGGCTTCACTCTAATGCATATGCAAAACGCGAGTCTCGGTATGAATGCTAATCAGTATCAATACGACAAACTGGGCTCTGCTATGGCAGCCGCAGGTATGAACATGTCAAACATGTCACCCACTCTCGGTGTTACCACAGGACACCACCACCACCACCATCACCACCACGTTATTAACACTAACGGCGGTATTCACTCACATTCGTCGGCCATCCCGTCGCCGCCATACCACTCGAATGGATTACATTCGCCCGACAAGAGTCTGTCCCCAACCAATGGTTACGACTACACGTTAAGACAGGGCTCACCGCAGAGCCCCTCATCTGTTAATTTACATTCGCCGACATCATTAATGCCAGCCCTGAACGGCCTGCCAACGAGTCCGCCGTCGAGTCACATGCCATCCCCACCGCCAGCACAGGTGTCATCGATGAGTACGGTTCCCATAACAGTAAGTGGTGTCCTTACTTCGGTCACTGCACCCCAACAGCTCACCCAAACTCATGGCACCCAACACGTCAAGGTGGCCACCACTCTGACCGCTGCCCCGCAACCCATCACAGTCTTACATGCAGTCACTCCGACCCCCGCAGCCATTGCACCGACCGCTCAGACGGTCACTATAGTACAGGCGGCCACTGCAGGCATTAGCAACTTAGCCACGACTATAGTCTCCACACCTGTCGCTGTTGTCACCACTGCTAACGCTCTTCACCAACAGCAGCAACAACTCAATCAAATCAAACAACAACACATCGTCACCATTGGCACCACCGCTGGTCACAACGGCTCCAAACAGCCTAACATACACTCCCTCTCTCTCAACAACATCTCCAACAACAATCAGACACAAACTCAGACCTCGTCCTCCGCCTCCAATAACGGCGCCGACGATATCGAAGAAATCAATACCAAAGACCTCGCACAACGGATTAGTGCTGAACTCAAGCGGTATTCCATACCTCAAGCCATCTTCGCCCAGAGGGTATTGTGTCGATCCCAGGGAACTCTGTCTGATTTGCTCCGTAACCCTAAGCCGTGGAGCAAACTTAAGTCCGGAAGAGAGACCTTCAGACGAATGCAGAAGTGGTTGGAAGAGCCGGAGTTCCAGCGAATGTCGGCTCTTAGACTTGCAGGTAAGGCACCGATACTTGTCTATTCAATCTGTATATCCATTTGCACTCTACCTGTCATTGTAATTGTATCGGCGTT